AAACTCTGGTGAAGAATCACACATATCAGCAAACACGCCCCAAAAGAAAGGGGAAGGGGGGGGCAAACACACGAGTGAGTTGACTATTTATACAAACTCACATTCCTGGAAGCTTAACGACCTCCAGCTGCTCAGTGATTAGAGCGTCTTGATTAGAGCTTCTTAACCCTTTAATACCAACACTCCCTCTCGCTCGTAACACTGAGCTGTACCACCTTAATTCAAATTTAAACCTGAACAGAAACATTTATGAGATTGCGGACTCAAAGCTTTTGTAAAACCGTCTGCGAGATTTTCTTGGCTTGGACAATTCTTTAGTTCAATTAAACCTTGTTTTACACTTTGGCATACATTTTGATAACGGATATCCAAGTGTTTTGTGTGTGTCTTGAATTGACCTGATTTAGCTAGTTTAATACAAGGTTGATTGTCTTCCCACACTCTGATAGGTAGGGAACGTTCTCCAAACAATTCTTGTACCAGTTGCTTATAAAATTCCAGTTCTCTACATACATCTGATAATGCATTGAACTCAGATTCAGTTGAACTTAAAGCTATAAGTGATTGCTTTCTTGATCTCCAACCAATTAGTGCATTTCCAAATTTTATCGCCATTCCTGGCACTGATTTTCTATCTGGTCCAGCATCTGCCCAACTGCTGTCGGCCCAACATTCAAGTTGTGTGCTGCCCTCTGCTGATAGTTTTAAGCGAAACCTTTTGGTAGTTTGGAGATACCTTAAAACTCTTTTTACTCCTTGCCAAGCATGCATTGATGGTTTTTCAGCTTGTCTACACAGCATGTTGACAGCATATGTTATATCGGGCCGAGTCCACTGTGCAATGTGGAGTAGACTGCCTATCGCTGACTGGTAAACCCCGGGATTACAGAACTCTGCCTGTTGCTCAGTTTGAGCATCCTTTGTGTAACTTAACTCCATTGGGGTTTTAACACCAGCACAGTTGTCCATTTTAAACCTTTCCAGCAACTGCTGGATCTTAGCTTCTTGGCTGAGCCAATAGTTCCCATCTTCATCTTGCTGAATTTTAACTCCTAGATAAACAGATACATTGCCTAGTGATTTTATCTAAAACCTTTCTCCAAGCTTTGTGGCAAATTGTTGTGCAAGTTTATCGTCCTTTCCACTGTATAATAAATCGTCAACAAATATCAAAACTGCTTCTTGTTCACATCCCAAGCCTTTTAGATAAAGACACGCATCTGCTGCGCTCTTTCTGAACCCCATGCTCTCTAGAGCATCGTTTAAGCAGGAATTCCAATTACGGGCGGACTGTTTCAACCCATAAATGGATTTGTGTAGGCGCCAGACCTGGTTTGGCTTGTCTCCTTCAAAACCTGGTGGTGGTGTCATATAGACTTCCTCCTGTAAGTCTGCATTTAAATAAGCCACATTAACATCAAAATGAAACAGCTTATTTCCCTTCTTAGCTGAAGAGGCTAAAAGCATTCTTAATGACTCCGATCTTGAAGTAGGGGCATAGATTTGAGAATAGTGAACTCCTTTGCGCTGCGAAAACCCTTTTGCAACTAGTCGGGCTTTATATTGCAACTCCTCAGTAGTTGTGGGCTTTAAACGATATACCCATCGACAACCTACAGCTTGTTGCCCTTTTGGAAGCTCTGTACTTGTAAGCACACCGAGAGACTTCATTGAAGCCATCTCTTTTCCATTGCTTCCTGCCACTTTACGGCTTCTGAGCTTGGAAGCTGTTGTACTTCTATATAGCTATCTGGCTCACACTGTGCCATATTTACGTATACACTTGTCACCTTAAACCGCTCTGGCGGCTTGCCCTTTGTGACACGTTTTGACCTGCGCAGTTGCTCCTCTTGTGCCCCCTGTGACCGTTGGCTGTCAGAATCTGTCTCAGACTTTATGTCTGGACGTGCCTCTAGGGATAAAGACCTCCGTTTAGATACCTCCCTTGGGCTTGGTGTTGCAGGCGACCTGCTTCGCTTTTGCTGTCTGCTAGGCCTACTGACTGGCGATGTTGGAACACTCTTAGATTCTGGCTTTTCTACCTTAGGAGAAGAACCTTTGTGCCTGGTCAGAATCTGCATCTGAACCATGTGCACCATCCCCTTCTGGCTCATCACCCTCTGGACTTTCTTTCTCAGCATAAATGCCTAAATCATCTCTCAAAATGTCAGGGTTAGCATGTAAGTGAGTCCATCCGGATTGCTCACAAAATTCAGCGCTCCTACTGAGGACCACTCTTGTAGTATCCCCATCTGGGTTCACGAACCTCCAAGATTTGGCATGTGGTTCGTACCCACAAAAGATGAGTTTCCTAGCCCTTGGACCTCCCTTTTTCCTTAACACTTTTGGGATAAGTACATAGGCTTGAGATCCAAACACCCGAAAGTAATTAACTTTGGGCTTCTTCCCATATAAAGCAAAATATGGCGTAGTATCAATTACCGAATTATATACTCGGTTCAGAACATGAGTAGCCGTCTGCCAGGCTTCCGCCCAGTAACTTTGAGGAAGTTTAGCATCAAACAACATAGAGTTTGCTAACTCTTGCAGAACCCTGTTTTTACGTTCGGCCACACCTCCTTCTTGGGGGGAATAAGGTGTAGACAGACGATGCTTAATTCCCTTTTTCTTAAAGAAATTCTGCAACACAGACCCGGTAAATTCTGACCCTCTGTCTGTCTGAAAAGCAAGTACTCTAGTACCGAATTCAAGTTCTACTGCATGAACCCAATTTTTAACTGTTTCTGCAGTATCTGCTTTTGTTTTGAGAGGAAAAAACCATGTAACCTTTGTTTTGTCATCTGAGAGACACAGTGCATACCTCGAACCTCCCATGCTAGCAACAGGCATTGGGCCACATAGGTCCATATGCACAAGCTGGAATACTTTGTCAGATTTCCTATTTGAACTGGGATAGCTGCATCTATGAACCTTCGCCCTTTTGCATGCAGTACAATCCAAATACTTAGTACATTTGTTGAATTTGCACCCTTCTGATAATTCAGGTTGTCTTTTAACATACTGAAAATTAATATGTCCCAAACGGCGGTGCCATAAATGAACACAAGAATTATGGGTAGGCGAGTTCACACAACCAGCATGAACCTGTTCAACTTCATCTGGACCTGTCTCAAAATAATATAACCCATTTCTGCATTCCACCTGCAAAAGAGATACGTTATTCTTTGAAATAGTGCAAACCCCATTTTCAAACACAGTTTTAAACCCATTTCTATCAAGTTCTGACACAGACAAAATACACCCCTTCATTCCCTTTAGCACATAGGCATCAATTTCTGTTTGCAAACACTTCAGGAACACTGTGCCTACGGTCTCTAAGGAACGTTTAGTTGAATCTGCCATTGTCACAACTTTAAGGGTTTGCAAATGTCTGCAATTCTGCAAACGGACACTAGATGGCGCCACCAGGTGGCGAGATGCAGCCCTGTCGATCAACCAGCGTAGATTGCTGCCTTGGCCACGCCCTTGCATCAACGCCATTGCTGAAGCCATGTGCTGTGTGCTGTGGGAGTAGCCACGACCTCCTCCTCTTCTTCGACGTCCCCTGGAACTCCTTGTCTGGTAACTAGGGGTAACGGCCTTGGTGCTGTCTTGACCAGGGTCACGTGTACAATTCCTGATTAAATGGGAAGAGGAACCACAGCGAAAAACAGTGTCTAGCTGCAAAAGCATTTACTGTGTTCTCAAACTCAGCATCCCCACTCTTAGGCACAGCATAACTCCCCTTTGAAGACAAACCTCTTTCTCTTTGCCTTTTATCCTGTTCATCTGCAAGTCGAGAAGAAATGTATTCAAGGGTTAATTCAGTTGAAGGCATAGCTTCCAAAGTTAAAGCTAGAGTCTCATAGCTTTTATCAAGAGAAGACAACAATATGTATGACTGCTGCTCCATAGAGAAAGGAATGCCCAGCTGTCTTAGTTGATTAAAGGCAGACACCATTTTGGCAATATGTTCTTTCACACACGCTCCCGGTTGGAGACGTAAATCAAACAAACTTGTAGCATGGATCTTGGCCCCCGCAGTGTTTCTGGAATTTAGCCGCTGCAGAACCGTCCAGACCTCATGCGTGTTCTTTAACTCAGAAACATAAGGCATTTGCTCTGGTCCCACTGCCAAAACTAATAGACCTTGGTATTTCCTGTCGCGTTTCTGTGAAGCTGCCGCTGCTGCTTTGTCTTCTGCAGACGCGTCTGCAGCTGCCTGTAAAGGCGGTGCTTCAGTACAACTCCACAACTCTTTTGCTTGCAACCAAACCCTTACTCTAGCCTTCCAATCTTGCCAATTTTTCCCATTGAGTCGCATAAATGGGACAGTTAAACTTTCCTGGGACTCTGCCATCCTCCCTGGGGCTTAGGAACGATACTCACACACCTGTAGACCGTCTCCCAGCTGCTGAGGTGGCTCCTCGAGGAATAAGACGTCTTCCAGCGAGTACAAACTGCGCAGTGCCTCTTTAAAACTTTTCCTAGGCACGTTGCAGGACTCAAGCTGCTTTGAAGGCTTTCGTTGTCGGCAACCACTTCTGTCTTCGCTCCAGTCCTTTCATAAATCACTCTGAACTGCACTCCTTATCTCCTTCTTGATGTACAAACAGCCATAACCTGTCCCATTAAACTTTAATTAGTTTAACGCTAAGCATATGTCCAGTACGCTTCCAATGCCACAATGTCCCATTACAGCAGAGCATTTCGCACAGCGGCTCAAGAAGGGCTGGAGAGTCAGCATCTTTTCAATAAAGGAATCTTGGAGCAAGCGGTTTGGAACTCAAATAAAAGGTTTATTTACACAAAAACAAAAAACCCTGGTGAAGAATCACACATATCAGCAAACACGCCCCAAAAGAAAGGGGAAGGGGGGGGCAAACACACGAGTGAGTTGACTATTTATACAAACTCACATTTCCTGGAAGCTTAACGACCTCCAGCTGCTCAGTGATTAGAGCGTCTTGATTAGAGCTTCTTAACCCTTTAATACCAACACCTGGCTGCTGACATGCTTTTATTTATCAGCCTAAAGGTTGAACTTATTTAAAAGATGATGGCTGCCACTTCTGTTCTAGTTCTGCTCCTGCACCTTTAACAGCAGCCTGATACACCCAACATCGTCAATGACCACTGTGTCACACTCAGTATCTTGTTTCTAACAGTGGCTAACCAGTTATCTCGGGTTATGAAGAAATCAAACAGATAAAGCATTTCCTGGTATGGAGATAATATGAAAAGCTTCACCTACTAATAATATGTGAATCATCCAGTTTTAAAAAGGTGAGAATAAAATTAAAACAGAAAATGAAGATAGCAAATCCAGGGGGCAGGAAGAACTGCAAGTTTTCTGAAACAAGACAGATAAAGATAAAACTACATGAAAGGGTTGTTTTCTAGCTATATTTAGCATCAGATATAGTACCATCAGTGTGCGCTGAGTAGAAGAGAGGTCTCTATCCTTGAACTGTGTTAAAATTGCCCTGACATTCTTGCTGATGGAAGTTCTATAAATGGGGAGTCAGGCGAACACCAGCTATTTCAGGCAACACTTACGTTTCTAAAGCGAACAAGTCTCCTTTTGAAGCCATTTCCTGCAACCAGGTCTGCTTCAGAAATATAAAGGACACAGGATCTGTTTGAAAGATGGAAGTCTACGACTCCCAGGCCATCTTCTAGAATTAGTTTAACTTTCCCTTGAAATAAGAGACACAAGATTTTAGTAACAAGATAACTATAACAGAGCATCAAATATGAATTCGGTGAAACCTTGTCTACCTATCCAATATTAATATTTTTTATAAAAAGTTCCATTAATTTCAATAAAATTTACTCCCACTTATATTTAGGGCTACAGCCTCTCATGGCAAGTGCACCTTACAAAAGATCAAAACTGACTTTAAAAATCTGGCTTAAAGTATTCTAGTCTAACTCCCTATCCAGATCTTGTATTTTAATTACATTTTCACAAATGTTCTGTTTTCTATTGACACGGTTACCTTGTATCCCCTGAGCAACCAGAGAGCCTTTCCATTTTTCATGGCCAATCACATGCCCATAAGGGACACTAACGGCTCCTAGTCGGACAGGAGTGCCTTCATTTGCCATCACTGACCTCCTTCGTTTTGTAAACACCTGTCATAAAACACACAGGAAAAATAAGGCAACAAGGTATTATTCATGAGATGCAGAAGCATTGCATATGGGCACTGGGCTGTTGGGTTAATAAACAAATCATCTGTCAGAGGTTTTTATTTCTTTCTGGTATATACTCCATCTGTAAAGCCCTGCATAGCACAATTTTGGACACAAAAATTAGGAATGTGTAAACCAGGGTCACCAACCCAAGTGCCTACAATGGCATTTATTGGCACCACCAAGCAGAGGTTCCAGATGTTGTTTTCTTTTTTTAAAATCTAGCCCCCTCCCCACAGAAAGTTACAAAGCAAAACATGCAGGTACCCTTCTAATTGATTTTTGTGAGAGTAGGAAACCTAACTGTTCCTGCCTGCTTATGAGAGAAGTCTGAGCTGCAATTGGTAGGTGTGTTATTTCTCAAGAGCTGCTGCTTTTCACCTCCCTTCAACACACTTTCTTATTTTCTAGCCAGAAATTCGTCAGGTCGAGCAGTTTTTAAAATATGGAAATGCAGTACAGCTATATGAAAAGCTTCACCATGATTGCACTTTCTCCAATTTTATGGTGCCATGCCTCCCCCCTACATAGTGGCTGTGTTTTAGGCCACATACATCATGGCAGCTGTCCTGTGACTATTCTCCTCTCCCACACCCTCTGTACATGCTGCCATCTTTCAAAATGTGCACCCGGGTTGTCCAGTAAAGTTTGGCAGCGGTGCCGAATTTATGTATAAGCTAATCAATGGGGGTCCCAAAAAAATCTAAAGGAAAAAAAGGTACATTTCCAAAATATAAGATATAAAACAAATAAAATAAAACCTACATACAGCAACAGTGTTTTGTGTTGTGTAGGCTCCTATGATGTAAATAATGGGCCCGGCTGCTAGCTTTTTGTTATGTGCAAATGGCTTTAGATACCTATTAGGTCCATAAATTACCCTATAGTATATATTCAACAGGGACGCGGGTGGCGCTGTGGGTTAAACCACAGAGCCTAGGACTTGCTGATCAGAAGGTCAGCGGTTTGAATCCCCTTGACGGGGTGAGCTCCCGATGCTCGGTCCCTGCTCCTGCCAACCTAGCAGTTCAAAAAAGCACATCAAAGTGCAAGTAGATAAATAGGTACCGCTCCGGTGGGAAGGTAAACGGTGTTTCCGTGCGCTGCTCTGGTTCGCCAGAAGCGGCTTGGTCATGCTGGCCACATGACCCGGAAGCTGTACGCCGGCTCCCTCGGCCAATAAAGCGAGATGAGCGCCGCAACCCCAGAGTCGGTCACGACTAGACCTAATGGTCAGGGATCCCTTTACCTTTACCTATATATTCAACACAAAAAAACAGCGACATTACCTTCAGTAGCTTAGGGCCTCATCAAACCTAAATCCAACCCTGGTTGGGAGACCCTTGCTTTAAGGCAGGAGAGAGATCACGCCACACGCAGGGCTGAAAATACAGGCGCCCACCCAGCAACAGCCACAGTGGTACCTCGGGTTAAGAACTTAATTCGTTCCGGAGGTCCATTCTTAACCTGAAACTGTTCTTAATCTGAAGACCACTTTAGCTAATGGGGCCTCCTGCTGCCGCCGCGCCGCCGGAGCACGATTTCTGTTCTCATCCTGAAGCAAAGTTCTTAACCCGAGGTACTATTTTTGGGTTAGCGGAGTCTGTAACCTGAAGCGTATGTAACCTGAGGTACCACTGTATCCTGCAATAAAAGAGGGTGGGTGGAGGTTAAAGAACCCCCCCCCTTCCCGACAAAACCCACCCAATCCTCGCCAGCTCCGCTTCCAGAGAGAGAGATAGAGAGAAAGAGAGACAGACGCGCCCCAACTTTGAGCAGCGCGCGCGCTCTGCGCATGACGGACACCGGGCCAACCAGCCAATCGCAACTCAAAGCTCCCCCCCCGTCAAAACACAAAACGAAAAGATGCGCGCGAGCGAGCGAGCGACGAGAGAAGGAGTGGGCGGGGCTTCTCCTTCAACGGCTGCCCGGTTGCTAAGGGAAGGCGGAAGTAGTAAAGCGAGCGGCGATTGGTGGAAGCGGGAGGCCTTGGCCAATCGCCGCGCGGCTTGTTCCGGCGTGGTTGCGAGAGGGGAAGCGTCTCTGCTGCCCGGGCGGAATCGCTTCTTTCTCCCCGCTTCCAGGCGGCGGCGGCAGCGGCGGCGAAGACTCTCCCTCGCCGTCCTTTTCTGCGTACGCTGCTCAACCCTCTTCCGCATACATGGCGCTTCGCTTCAGGAGCGGCCGGAGGGGCCAATTCGTGAGTATCAGGGCCGGGGTCTGGTGCTGGTTCGGTGAAGGGTAGTCCCCCCCCGCGCCTCCCCCCCCGTGTCTGGTCAGGGGCGCCGGTTGCCATGGCGACCGAGAAGCTCTTCCTCTGCCACTCTCGTCCCACTGGAAAACTTGTCCGAAGGGGAGAGATGAGGAAAGCCTTGCATACTTAGCAATGTCCCTGTTCTGTGTCTTCAGGACACGCCAGTAACCTAAGAATAAGTCTAGAAACAAGACATTTTGCTCTAGAAAGGGAAGTTCTCATGCGAATAGTGTAATTTTTTTAAGGCATGAAGTTTCTATACGTAGAGTCATGCACCTCGTCCGCCTTTGCCTACTGTGACTTGTGGTGGTGCTTCAGGGACTAGGGCAAAGTTATTTCCCAGTCTTTGCTGCTTCAGGATCTGCTTTAACTGGAGAGGCCCCGGGGGACTTCCTGTATGCAGAGCGATACTGCAAGTTGGATGGCTCCTTTCCCACACTGGGTGGACATCCGTATTAAGCTATTACTGTTGTTGCAGCATTTCCAGGACAGTCATCCTGTTTAATCTTCTTCATCCAAGATCAAAATACAACTGAACATTTTGGGTGTTAACTTTACCATGCCTGAAGAGCCATGCATTTAATATAAATATGCTTCCTATGAACAGTGACCAGAAAAAAATAATGTTTTTATTTAAAAAATGTTGTTACAAGATCATAATATTTATTCATTCCTAGGGTTTAGGCCAGGGGGATTCCCCCAGATCTATAACAATAAGCAATCCAACATAAGAAACTAGCAACACAGGTTTCAAAGTACACACCACTGATAATTGCTTTGTGGCAATAATTGCAACTTTTTGAATATTTGACCAGTATTGCATCTGTTGCCAGGAATTGTGGGTTTATTTCTGTTGCATGTTAGCTGCAGGAAGCAGAATGGGCAAGACCAGTATGGTAATTGTCCTGTTGTGTCACCACTGTAGTCCATGTTCTGATATCTTCCAGACTGCCTTAATACAATGTGCTCTACATGGGGCTGCCCTTGAAAACAACTCAGAAACTTAAACTGTTCCAAAATGGAGTGGCCAAATTACTGGATGGAGTCCTGTTTAGAACTCGTATAACTTCTGTTTTAAAACAGCTGCACTGGTTGCTAGCTTGTTTCCAGCCCAGTTTAAGGTTCTCATGCGAGTGTTTAAAAGCCCTAAACAACATAGCCCCCAAATATCTAAAAGACCACTAAGGTGCAGACCCTCTCAGGTGTTAAGAGGGGCTGATCTTGGTAGTTCCATCACACTCAGAGGTTCAAGGTTGTGTGTAACTGAGGAGAGCACATTATCAGTGGCAGCTCATAAGCTGTCAAATTTTCTCCCCACAGAGGTATGTCTGGCACGTTCATGGCACAACTTTCATGGTATACTAAAGACACAACACTTTACCCAGATATTTGACTTTTGAGATATAGCATTCTAAGACACAACCTAGTAGTGACTGCAATTTGTTTTAAGTTGCTTTTAATACTGTATTTTATATTGCTTCTGGTGAAGGGTGGGTAATAAATATAATACAGTAGCAATAACTATGGTTTATCTTAACATGCAAGTGAGCCCTATTCTTGTGCATACTTACTCAGAAGTATTTGATGGATGTGTAAGGCTGTACAATATTGCAGTTTTATGGGAGTGGGGGCAGGGAACAGAATATGCTTCTGTAAATGGCCTTTAAAAATAGAAATGTGTATAGCTCACTACCCTGATAGTTAGAAGTGACTGCCTACTTTCAATAAATGAAAGCTTTGGTTGTATCCTGAAAAAAAGCCAGTTAAAGCCAACAGCTGTACTCAGCAATATGGCTTTCAAGTGGTTAAATATTTCATATGAAACATGTCAAGTCTCTGTCTCTAAGGATCTAAGAACTCTCAAGCCAGTTTTGCTCACCCCAGAAGATTTCAGGCTTGTTTTCCTTTCACAGCAGTTTCCCAAGAGGAGTTTCAAACCAGTTTGTAATATAGCATAGTAGTATTCTCTTTTAAAATGAAGTAAAATTATATATATAACTAAGTGCACTGAGTCCTCTTTGGATTCTATTCACATACTTAAAAGTATGAAATTAATGAGACCTAATAATACAATTCTTTGCATATTTACTTAGCAGTTAAGTACCACTGTTTTCAAAGGAACTTTCTTCTAAGTAAATACAGACAGGACTGCAACATTTGTTCCAAATACATGTGTTTTGCACTTTCATTGTTCAGTTGCCATGCTGCAATATTGAGTGCTCCTGTTCTTTAGTGCTATGGCCCTGGATCCAATACGTACATTAATTTGCATGTAATTTCTCTCCCCTTTTGTGTTGTTTCGAGTCATTGTGCATACTTAGTTTTGTGTTTCTCCATTGTGTTTGGTCAGTCATTGCCAACTAACTTTATTTTAAATTGTCTAGAAACATATAGCTCATGGCCTGATCCTGCAGCTACCATAGCACCTAAAGCTGCCGTCCCCCGCACCCCTCCCCCTCGTAGTCCAAACCCTTCTCCAGAAAGGCCCAGGTAGGTCTTAATGTTTTTCATCTCTTGATTACCATTCATTGCATAGAATATATATAGATATATATTTAAAATGCATGCCTCTCTCTTGCTTGCAGCTGTAACATAAACCTAATACATTCCAATAATATGTAGGGTTGCAGCTTTGAAGTCATTAACCATTTGAACATGTTAATTATAAATTAATTTTAAATTGGTAATGAGGATGGCTAAAAAAAACTGATGAGTGACAAAAAAGCAATGATCAGAACAGTCCAATTAGCAGCACAAATATATGGCTTTTTTTTTTTTAACTCTCCGTCCTTTGCAAGAACTAGTTGATGTATACATTACACTGGTGTGCTTGTATTGATCACAGTGGAAATGGTTGAAGATGATTCCCTAATACTATAATAAAGACTGCAGCTTTGTTTTCTATTACGTTAGAAGGGGTCAAACAACATTCCTCACACATTCAAAGAATGTGTGAGGGGACTGTGCAGATTACAGTTGGATTAAGTGATTAAAAATAATTGACTAAAAGTGCTGCTGATCAATCAGGCCATCAATGGAGATATATATTCTCTCTCACACATGAGAAATACATGTGTGCATTTGCTAAAAACATAGAAAGTTTGCTTCTTGCTTCAGAAATATTGTTTTACATGCAAATTTAATTGATAAATTGTGGGACTAAGTTAAAATTTCTTAATCACGTTGCAGCCCTATATAAAATTAAATTTAACATCAGTGTTTTCAAGAGATCACTTACAAAGATTATTATTGTTTATCTGACAAATAAGAGTAATGAAATGCTTTTGTTTTTAAATTATTTTAACCCAGAAAAATGTACTAATGTAAAATACAATCCTTTAAAAACATTATTAACCTTTTGTTTTGACTTTTAAAAGAATCACTGTTTCTTCATTTTGCTTTCTGATTATTTTTTAATCTCACCTTTCTTCCTCCCTTTTTTACCTTTTCAAAATCACGCTCACAAACAGCAGCATCTTCTAGCAAATTTATACAATCAGGGCTGAAAGTAAGTCCTGTTGAGTTCAGTAAGACTTATTTCTGAGTAGGCATGTAGGAGAATCAAGTGGTGGTGGAGCTTTTCTTGGACTGTAATCCTTCAGACACAGGTTTCATGCTTGAATGTTCTTCAACATAAAAAAGCAATCCTTTCCTTCACAAAGAAAATTGTGAGCCAGTATTCAGATACACAGCATCCTGCCTGCTGGGTGAAGTGGTACAGTCCAGAAAAGGCTTCAGAGGTTCATTTTGTTCACATTTTGTTCTTCAAGGTAAGGAAAGAAAGAAAGAAGGGTGAGGAGATGGCCTGATCCTGTGATTTAGTGCCCCACAGATGCATGAGCATAGTTTGCTGAAAAAACTAGCCAGTATGTGCAAGGCTCCTTTCTTCCCATAGTTGATAAGAGGGAGGCACGTGATATTACCTTGAAGACTTAATTCGGTCCACATCTGATTGCAAAATAGGGCTTTACATTTTAAGCTCCTAATGATTCAAGGTATGTTACCAAAAATGGAAAGGAAAGGTGGCAGTTTGCCCACTCCACTATATTTATTTTGCAGCTTCTGTTGCTTATACACAATAACATTTAGGTTATTCCTGTCAGAAATGAGATAAAATGTCTAAGCCATTGTAAACGCTTAAATATTGTATTTATTTTTATTTTCCAGATCCGCTCTGGCCGCAGCTATTCTGTGACAACCCTAACTGGACGGACCATTGCCATCCTCAGCCACGTCAACGATCTCTTTCTGAGAGTGATGCCAGTTACTTGCAAGATCAAGAAAATTATATTGAGCCATATGCCACAGTCACTGAGCTGCGAATGCGGTAGGATATAATGCATGTATTGATGAGAACTGTTGGAAAAGTTGTAATAGAACTTTTATTTCCTCTGGTTAAAGAGTCCAAGATTTTATAGCCCACTTCAGACATAATAAGAAACATGAATGTTCCTGTGTGAGTGTTGGATTCTCACCCTCTCCTCTATCTCTCTGCTTTCCAAAGAAGAAAATAGAAAGCATCTGTTTTCCATTTGTGATTTGTTTAAGCTATGGTTTGAGAACAAGCTAGGATCTGAAACCATAGTTTAAACAAATGAGTTTGTTTACAGTTGGGACATCTTATGGAATTGTGGGTAATTTAAAATCCAGATCAGATGCTTTTGATCTTCAGGACATGAGAAGAAGGGTATGGAAATCACACATACCCAAGACTCATGAAATCATAGAATTGTGGAGTAGGAAGGGACCCGAGGGTTTGGAGACTTGAGAGGGTATGTGACTCATATCCCTTAATGCATTTTCTGCCTGCAGTCACAACTGGAAGAGCAATGGTTGACAGGAGCATTGGGCAGTCTTTGGAAGTATCAGGCAGTTGTTGTGAGGATGAGGACATGGATACATACCCTTCAGACACAGAAAAGGAACCAGATCCAAACTATCAGGTTATTGATAAAAAATAAACATTAGCAGCGATGCTGGCTATGCTATTCCACACAAAATTAAACAGGTAAGCACTGGAGTGTCTGCTTCTGCCAGCTTTCTGAATACAGTTGTAAAAATAATAAATTCTTTTAATCACATTTGCAAATGTTACTCAGTCTGGTAGCTCATTCCTTCAGGTGAAATGGGGGTGAATGTGCTATGAGTATACATGGATGGCAGGAGATCAACACACTCTTGAAATCTCCAACAACACGTTCAGATGTAACCTCTTTGTTGTCACTGCAATTTTTTCTGCCCTTACACTGCACAAGGGACGTGGTGGCACTGTGGGTTAAACCACTTGAGCCTAGGACTTGCGATCAGAAGGTTGGTGGTTCGAATCCACCAACCAATCCGTTTGCTCGGTCCCAGCTCCTGCCAACCTAGCAGTTCGAAAGCACGTCCAAGTTGCAAGTAGATAAATTGGTACCACTCTGGCAGGAAGGTAAACGGCGTTTCCATGCACTGCTCTGGTTCGCCAGAAGCGGCTTAGTCATGCTGGCCACATGACCCGGAAGCTGTACGCCGGCTCCCTCTGCCAATAAAGCAAGATGAGCACCCCAACCCCAGAGTCGGCCACGACTGGACCTAATGGTCAGGGGTCCCTTTACCTTTACACTGACAATGACAACCCCGTTTTATCCTCACAAGAGCCCTGCGAGGTGTGTCAGGCTGCAGGAGAAAGGACGAACTCCGCCTCTGGCTCTCAGCACCACCAGCTTCTTGCAGGACTGGGCTTCCCCAAAATGCAGGGAGGTGGGAAGAGGGCAGGAACATTGGCCTCCTTTGATAGCCATTCCAAGGTTTGCAGAAGGCCCGTCTCTGAGCTTGTTCAGCTTACTCACCAAGGTAGTTTAAAAGCCTTTAAACACCGCAGAGCCTCACCTCTTAGTTGGAGGGCCATGAAAAATCGAAATCTGGAAATGCAACTATTTTAATATCAGTGTGGCAATATTCCTCCCTCTTCTGTTGCAGCTTCTTTGAACACTGAAAGTGGGTCTCCTGAAGGGCTTTGCAAAGCTTCCCCGGTCTCTGCTGCTCCCTGTT